AACCTAGAGTTTGTGATTGATTCATAGTGCTATGCTAGGATTAAGACTGCTGAGATTAAGGGTGAGTGATTGCTGGATAAGTTCACTGATTGGATTGGTACTGCCCTAATCCCAGCAATCTGGATAAGATGAAAGGCGTAGAAAGAGGCTTGCTTTCCCTTTTTTGCTCTTGTTGTTTTTGTTGTCTTCTGCCTCCATGAACAGGTCCCCCATGTGCCATGTGCCACTCTGCCTTGGAGCCAGCTGATTACTGACCAAAACCTCTACAAACTGAGCTATATAAACCTTTCCCCTTTTCACTTTGGCTGTGAGATATTTTGTAGCATCAGTGAGAGAAAAATAGCTAAGACAGCCATTCTATTTAGGATCTGTTAGATCTTGGCTTTATTCTAAGTTCTTTGACTGAATCAAAGTCTAGGAAAATATTTTTAATTCAATCATCTATAAATCATTCCAAATTTTTGCAACTTCTGCAAAATATATATTACACATACCCCAACTGTGTATAAAAATGTTATTGAGGCCACACATATCTTGTTATCAACTATTTATTTTTATTAAAATGGGGCCCAAGGTTCTATTTTATATACAATGCAGACTTGTCAGCTGCTTCTTTTGTTTCACTCGGTCTTCTTGCCCTGTCATCATGTTGCTGCAGTACTGGACAATGTTGCTGCAGTACTTCCTTGGTTGTCACCCTCTTCTCCCTACCTCTAAGATGGGATGTTTTCCCTCCTAATTCTGCCCAGCTACAAATGTGTGATTTTCACCATTTCTGCAAGTATGGAAAGTGAAGGTTGTATAAGAACTGCTATAAAAGATATACAGCGAGAGTGGCAAATTCATTTGATCAAAAAAATTTACAGCCTCCACTACTGGACTACATTGTCTCCCTGGTCATTGTTAAGAGAAGCAGACAAGGACAAAATGCCAAAAAATGTAGAGAGTCATCCAAGAGCTAAATGTAGCTATAAAACGACAGGATCACTGAGTTTCTAAAGTCCATTCTTTAAAAATCTTCTGAGCTTCTGGGGACTGGGGATGTAACTCAGCAGCACAGCGCCTGCCTGGTAAGTGAAATGTTGTGAGTTTGATTCCCTGTACTGAAAAAAAAAAAAAAAAAAAAAAATCTTCCTAGGTTTCTACAGATCCCAAATTTATAATGGTTAGTTTTACATACTTCCCTAAGGGATGAACGGGGGCTTGAGATTTTTGGTGTCACCCTTTTGAGATTTCCCATTTGTTTTTGTTACTTTTCTCTTGTTGTGGAGACAAAATACCTGATGCCTAGAATTAAGGAAATAAAGGTTTATTTAGTTTACAGTTTGTGGAGGTTTCAGACTTTAATCAGCTGGCTCTGAGGTAGGGTGGTAGGCCACAGGGACATCACTTCAAGGCGGCACAAGACAGCAAAAGCAACAAGAGCAAAAAGAGAGGAGCAGCAGCAAGCAGCCTCTTCCGCTCCCTTACACTGTATGCAAACTACCCGCCCCAGGGCAGGTGTAGCACTCACACCTCTAATCCCAGCATCGACCGAGGATCAATCATAAACTCTAGAAGCCTACCCCATGACTGCATGGGGCCTTTGGGGGACATCCAGACACCAACCATGACACCATTATCCCATTAGGTGTGGGCCGTCCTCTCCCACCTACTAAGACTAAACCTAAAATCACTAAGACTTGGTTTAAAATTATCACCACCCTCTGAGTCATCCAATAACTCCCCCCTCAATCAATAAATGCTGAGGTTCTGGCTGTCTCGTGGCCTTTTGTTCCTCATGAACAACTGGTCATCCAGGATCCCAATTGTATGGCTATTTTGTCTGTTGCTCTTTCTTCCGCTTTTTTCTCTGTGCACCATAACACCTGGCAGAAGATGGTGGCTCACTGCAGGGCTCTCTGATACTGGGTCATGTTCATTACTGGGAAAGTATACCGACCTTTCTGAAGGAAACAGCAAGGTCCTTCCAAGAGAACCTGCACAAAGAGCCTAGATCTCTATTGGAGGGAAGGGAGCAAGTCCAAGGGCCACTGGGAGGAAATCCAGCTTCATCCTATGGATGGTGGTATTATTGCTAGTCCCTGGAGCAAAGTTATAAAAAAGAACAACTTCTAGACTTTGATGGGTTTCCGCCCATTTAAATTTCCGCAAGGCATCATGGTGGTGAGCCAACATGGCGTGGCCCAGAGACGACTATGTGCTTCTCCCAGGCGGAGTTCTGCTTTCCTTCTCCCCTGGCTTGGTTACAACTTCCTGTTTCCTTTGTCCACTTCTGCCCAATTACCGTCTACTACGTCACTCAGACCACCCCATAAACTCCACCCCCAACCTAGCCCTTTATGGTGTTTGCTGCCCAGCTTCCGCTTCCAGAAGGTCCTCCTGTCTGTCAGCATTCTTCCCGGGCCCTACAATAAAGGCTTTTTGTACTTTGTTTTGTCTCTCACTAGCGCCAAACCTAACATTCTTTAGTAGCATTTTTGTGGACTTACTTTTTTACTTAGGTTAGGCCTTGTATCTACATGTCCCTCAAAGCCTCAGACAGTCACAGGTGGGGCTCTTTGGAGGTGGCTGGCTGGAGGATGCATGATGCCAGGATCAAGGATGTGATGCTAGGGTTAAGGCTGTGAGTGCTACCTGCCCTAAAGAGGGGTATCCTGGTTAAAATATGAGGGACAGGAAGAGGCTTGTCACTTGTTACCTGGTGCTGTGTTGCCATGTGCCTTCTGTCTGCCCTGCTTTGCCATGGGCTGTTCCCCTGTGCCGTGCGCCACTCTGCTTGGGAGCCAGCTAATTATGAACTGAAGCATCTATGAACTGTGAGCGAAATAAACCTTTCCTCCTTGAGCTTTGTGTGGCAGGTATTATTCTTCAGCAATGAGAAAAGTAACCGAGACATCAATTGTATGTAACTGCAAAAAAGTGAATTAGAATCATGAATGTTGTAAAAGTTACAAATGAGAATGTTTTTGAGCATCTTCTAAGCCACAGTCTTTACCTAAAAAATAAGAAAATAAGACCCAGGATGATTGTTTGGCTGAGCTACACATTGCCATAGAGGGTTGGTTTAGGGTCATTTATTCTTTGTCCAGATAACTCACTTTTAATAATTTACTATTATAGGGCCAACAAAAATTTTTAAAAAATCAATTTATTTTCTTAACTATGTATACATTACAGGCTGTTACAAAAACATGCTATTACACTTGTGCACAGTGTATATCTGTAAAGCTCATGGAGGTCCATAAAATGTGTAGCAACGCACTGTGTCGAGTTGTCAACATTTCCTCCCATATTGCTTTGCTACTGAGCTGCTCACAAATGGTGTTGTGTTTTTTGAAATAAGTGAATCAACCTTTTTACACCTATATAGGTTTCATAAGTTGGAAAATTGTTTTGAAGTTTAGAACTCCCCTTTGAATAGTGATGCTGTCTAGGTTAGTGAAGATTAAATTGTAGCATTAAAAATTGTAAGTGGTTTCAAGCCCTTGGAGGCTGAGCCCTGGGCTGCCCGTTGCAGATGGCAATAATTATCTTTACTATACCCTCAAGACCTTAATGGAATTGTAATGATTTGGAGGATATTAAAGTATCTTTGTTGCTTTAAAATAAAACCATCTAGGTCACTTTCTCATCCTATTTCTTTCCCAGCCCTCTTTCTTCCTGTAAGTGTTACCTATACCTAGATGGGAAATAGATAAATATGTATTCTACCAAGATGTTGTATAGTACTTTTGATGTACACTGTCTTTCCTAATTCTTTGTTGTAAATGTGATCAAAAGTGTGCTTTTAAAGATGGTAAGTATACAGAAAAGGAAATATTATTCAGCTTTTGCAGAGAGTGTATACACTGAGCAAGGGTTATCTGTCAGTGTTACAGTGTAGCTTAGTAAATGTATTTATCACTTCCATCTCTGTGTGGCTCTGAAGAATGCTACACATAATAGTGGTAGCAGCCTGTAGCTGCCAAGCCTCTGCACAGGGTACCATCAGATAAAAGAAGGATTTACATGTGGTTTCTTTCGGCTCTCATTTCCTACACAGATTAACTCTGAAATGACCCAGAAACTGCAGAGGGATGTTTATGTATTTTATTGTCCTGTTGATATTTCAACAGAGCCAATATTTTACTATGTCTTATCTGATCACTGTGTGAGTGGAATGAAAGGATTTTCATTTCTATTAAGCATCCAGTAGTTGTCACTAATAATACATAACCCCGCAGCATCCCACACCGAGTGATGAAGCCTGTGGCATTATAATCCCCACACTGCTGTAACAACAGATGAATCTGATTTTAGATACTCAAAGCAACCTTGAACTATCCTGCAATATAATGCTTTGGTTTCAGTGACGCTAGCTGAAACATGTCAAGGTACTATCTCTAAAATTCTTGTTTTATACTTGGGAGCACATTCATATAGAAAGAGAAAAAATGCACCTTTCTCGTGATTTGCCATGTTTAGTCACATAGCAATATGACTCCTATGTAGATAGCACCCAAATTGAGACCCCATGTCTGCCTTTGCTCCCCAACTTCCCACCAAGACCCTGAAAAGTCCACCCCACATGCCCGAAGCCCACCTTTCTCCACCAAACCAGATGTTTTCGTTTGAATTTCTCATTCTGGCAACAGTGTTATGATTTCTAGGTTATCCAAGATTAGACTTTGTAGTTTTTTTTCTTTTCATTTCCTGTGCTTATTAAAGCAACAACAAAAAATCTCCCTATCCACAGAATTTTGTCCAGACTTGCCTGTCTTGTACCTATCTTCTTTCCCGTTCCCACTACTGCAGCGATCTCCCTCCGCCTTCCAAATCTCCCTGTGTGGCCTGTGTTACAAGCCAAGCATTTAGTAAAAGCTTTGGGAAGAAGTGTTGGGGAGCATTCACTGCCAAGCTAAGTCATAACATTTCTTAAACAGATGTTGATGACGTGTCTTCGTGTCTAGATAGCAGACCCACAAGTGTGACCTTCTGAAGTTCTGGGGACTACTCACCATGCTCTCCCACATCTGTCCATTTCCTTACGGTTTTTCTTTTGATCTTCCCTTTGCGGACTGGAAAATGAATCTCCAAGAGCCCCAAGTGTTGCAGGGAGGGGTCTGAATTCCAGAGAAGTTGAGTAGCTGCTTAATGGCTGGGGTGTTCCACAGCTGTGTTCCTGGAATAATCAACTGAGGTTTTGTGGGCTTTGCTAGGCCATGCTGCTAGTTCAGCTGCCAAGGTAACAGTTTATTATGACCCGCCAACCCAACCCATGAGCTGGTGACTTATAACCAACCAATCAGGACTGAGTGCTTCTCTCAAGCTTGCATCCCTCATTTACATAGTGTATCCGTGTGGGCAGCTGTGCAGGGGCTTTCTCTATGTAAGCCCGCCCCTCTCTGTGCTCCCTTGATTTGCACTTTTGTCTTGTAGGCAGACTGTGTCTCCTGGTTTAAAAACTGCTTCTGGAAACAAAACCCACTGTTTCATCTCAAATTCTTTCCTAGTGAATTTCTGTTGACACTTTTATTCACAGCACCCTCTGTCCAGGCCCAACTCTTTATTGCAAAATGTACATGTAAGATTTCTCAAACATTAAGTCAAAGATGACTAAAGTTTCCTAGATGAAAGTAACTTCTATTTCTTTCAGTCTTTAAGTGGTTTTATACCTACTCTTTCCTGGCAAACTTACTTTACTTTGCTGTTACACTTAGCAGTTACTAGCTTCCCTATGATATTAAAAGTCCTGTGAGGGCAAATACTTTATTCCTTTCAGTGTTTACTGAATCTATTTAATCTGTACAAAATCTATTTAATCTGTACATCTACCAATAATCTTCTACCTGTCTCAATTTTGTCAAAGTAAAAGTGAATTAAAACAAAACATTTATTTAGAGTAGACTAGTTAAAACATATGCACAAGCCTATGTGTGTACATCATCGTGTACAAGATAATGAACATCCTTATTACCCCTCAGTAGTTCTCTGTGTCCTTTTGTATTCCATTCCTGTATCACCGCCAATTCCAGGTAACAATGCATTTTTTAAAAACATATTTTCTAAATTATTATGCTATTAAAGTATACAGTATGTCCTCAATTTTTATATAATTCCTAAAACCCACATACTTGTAATAATTTTGATTCTTATCCATATTGTTTTGTGCACCAGTAGTTCATTTCATTGTATTAAGTAGAATTTTATTATTAGAATACACACAATTTGGTTGTATTTGCCCATGACATTTGAGCTCTTTCTAATTTGATCATCCTGTGACTAACATTGTTAGTGGTATCTATGCAGAAGTCTTATAGACTTGCTTTTCTTCTTCCATTGATAAATGTCTTAGGGCTGGGAATTTAGCTCAGTGGCACAGTGCCTGCCTGGCAAGAGCAAGGTTGTGAGTTCGATTTCTGGCACCGGAGAAATAAAACCAAACAAACAAACAAAAAAATCTAACCAAGTCTTTGGGGCTGGGGATTTAGCTCAGTGGCAAAGCACCTGCCTGGCAAGCGTAAGGTTGTGAGTTCGATTCCTGGTACTGGAAGAAAAACAGAAAAAACAAACAAACAAAAAAGGATAAATGTCTTAGTTGCTTTTCTTGTTGCTGAGACAATGTATTTGACATTCAAATTTACAGGAGGGAAGGTTTACTTTGTCCTAAAGTTTGGAGAGATTTTAGTCCATATTTGGCTGGCTCCAAGACTGGGTGGCATAGCAAAGGGGCACAGAAGAGGAGAAATAGTCCACAGTAGGGCAGAAGGCAGCAAAGCAGCAAAGCAGCAAAGTAGCAAAGAAACAGCCAGGGAGGGCAGCAGCCCTGTTTTTGTCCCTTACATTCCATCAAGGCTACAAGCCCTTGGGGCAGGTAGCACTCACACCCAGCATGGGTCTTTCCATTATCCACACCCAACTCTTTGGCAAATCAGTCACACCCTTAATCCCACCATCACACACTCTATATATGCTCATTGAAAAGCTCCTCCTATGACCACATGAAGCTTTGGGGGTCATCTAGAGCCAAGCTGTGATGGTTGATTGTGTTAATTTTAGTAAGTAATGCCCAAATAAATTGGTCTAGCATATTTCTGGGTGTGGAAGACCCACCCTAGGGAGGCTTATCACCAGAACAGCATAAAACGGAAATGAAGTAGGAAGGATTGCTGTGTTTTCTTTGGAGTGGCTCCAGTTTTCACTTTTACCTTGGAAGTCATCACTTGGCTTCCAGCACAGACCTTTCAGCCTCCTGTAGGAACCCTTCAGCCTCCTGATAAGGCCTTGCATGGGACACTACAGGGAGCTCCAGGCCTTTGGCTGGATCCTTTGGATCTCCAGGGCACAGACAGACCTTTTGCACTCTTCTACACTGGACTCTGTGGGTGGCCATTGTAGGCTAATCTTGTAAATTCTTATATATTTTGTATCTTATATTAAATCAGTTTTCTATAGTAAATACTGAGTGATTCAAAAGACATAATAAAAAATAAATACATCAACTAGGAATCAAAAGGCTACATGTCTTGGTATGTGTGTGTTTAATTTAAAAAATTACAAATTTCTTTTCAAGGTGGTAGATATCATTTTAAATTCCCTCCAATAGTGTATGAGACTTTTAGTTACACAATACCTTTAAAAATAATAAATTTTCCCATTGTATTAGTGAGCTTTCCTATTGATGAATCACAATAACCCAACACCCACAACTTAAAGTCCGAAAGGTTTAATTTAATTTAGCTCATAGGGCTGGGGATTTAGCTCAGCGGCAAAAGCGCCTGCCTGGCAAGCGCAAGGTCGTGAGTTCAGTTCCCGGTACTGGAGAAAAACAAAAACAAAAACAAACAAACAAACAAAAAATTTAGCTCATAGCTTCTGGAGGTCCAGCACTAGGTCTACTGGCTCCAAAGCAGAAGCATCATGATGAGAGAAGTGTCTTAGTTTCTTTCTTGTTGCTGAGACACAGTACCTGATACTCACAACTGTAAGGAGGAAAGGTTTATTTTGGCTCACAGTTTGTAGAGGTTTTAGTCCATAGTTGTCTGGCTCTAAGGAAGGGCAGCATGGTAGAAAGGTAGACATTACTTCTCCTCTGCCATTCCCCTTTGCCATGCCACCCAGCCATGGAGCCAGCCAAGTATGGGCTAAAATCTCTCCAAACTGTGGGACAAAGTAAACCTTCCCTCCTGTAACTTTGAATGTCAAATATTTTGTCTCTCATCCAGGTAAAGAGGGAGAGAGAGACAGAGACAGAGACAGAGACAGAGACAGAGAGATCAAGGGAGGAGGGAGAAAGATATACCCTTTCAGGCCCTGCCTTCCAACCAGATTTTACTTCCCAACATCATATTTAATTATAAACTCATCAGAGATGTGCATCACACCCCCATTATCCAATCACATGAACTCATGAGGATATGGAGGGACATCTAGACGTAAACCGTAACAGAAAGGGATGACACAGCAAAGCTGCTTAGTTCATTATGGCCAGGAAACAAAGCAGAGGGACAATTTCAGAGAGGAATGAGCTAGTGATTTTATATACTATCCAAGAACACATACCTAATACCAACCACACACATCCAGGAGTATGCTTTAGTAAAGTACTAAGTGTTTCTTAATCCAGTGAAGTGGACAAAATAAGGGTCACACCAATCTCCTCGGTTTTGGCACTTTCAGTCAGTATGTAATACTATTTCAGTTTGTAGTTGTAGCAGCTAGGGCGGAGGGTCAGTTTAATTGGCTTTGAGATCATCTGGGAGTTTAGTGGAGCGAACACCTGGGGTATCCCAGTTTACAGTGGATGCATTGCCTTAGGGTCTGTGTCTGCTCTACGTCTTCTCCACTCTGGTGCTGTTCCCACCTCTGCATCCTGCCTATTATGATGTTTTTTTTCCACCACATCCCTCCACCACGTGATACTCCTTCCTTGGAGCCAGTTGACTGTGGACTGCATTGTCATATTACACCTCTCTTTGTTTAAGCTGTGGGTGTTAAGTCTTGCGTCTCAGCAGCAAGGATGCTGACTGACAGACAGTTGGTCCTGTAGAAATGAGGCCATTGCTGTAATTAAGCCTAACTATTCACTTTAGAGGCATTTGAAACTGGTTTGGAGAAGTTTGGAAAGATTTGGAGATACAGGTTAGAAAGGCTTAGATTGCTATAAATAGAGCTTGATAGGTGATTCTGGCTGGAACTCAGAAGATCAAAATGCTGATCGGGTACAGACAATAAAAGGCAAGCCAAGCAGTTTTGAGTGGGAAACAACTCCACCCGTAGTTGAAGAAGAGGTCACAAATTTTACACTTTAGCAAGTATTTTATCTACATTTTACCCATGTCCCTAGACTTTGCAGGAAATGGAAATTAAGGGTGGACTCATTGATTGGCAGAAGAAATTTCAGGGCAGCTCAACATTCAGACTGTAGCATGGATACTGATTTTAGCCAGGTTCATAGTGAGAATTAGGGCCCAAGAAATGGAACAGAAAATTTTAAAAAAATACATTTTGAACCAGACATGAGCAGGTGAAAAGTTGCAACCAATGGAATTATGACTGCTGAGTGATGTAACACTATTAAAAAAGAAACCAAGTACTTTGTACAGTGACAAGAGGGAAGATGCCTTGAGGCTTATCAGAAATCAGCCAGACACGGTCCATTGCAGAATCAAATTTGCAGATGTGTAAACTTTTCAATTGAGAAGTTAGCCCTATTGTAGAAGGGCTGCCTAGGGAATTGGCTCCTCAGGATCCATTGTATATCCTCTGCTGTCCAGATGCTCCTGTGGCACAATGCAAGAGCTGTGGGATCAAGAAGGCTTCTACCAGATTTTATAGCATGGCCAGTGGTGCCACTGAAGAAGCCCAAGAGACAGCAGTGGGTAAGACTGTGGGAAGGAAGGTGAAGATACAATGGAGACCCAGGGAGCTAGAGACATCTAAACAACAAGCCACGTTGTCTACAGTGACATTCTAAATTCTGGCCTGCCTTCTGAGTAGAGTGATTTCTGTGCACTAAGCTAGTGCTAAGCTGATTTGGATCTATCCTATGTGTGAGTAGTAGAGGGTAGACTGGGATTTTTGTCGTTACAGAATTAGGGGAAACTCCCTTTCTGACTTCCATGCTGCATTCTGCAGGCCACAAGGAATTCTTCTTTTCTCTATCTGATAACACAGCCTGGGTTTTCCTTGCAGTTTCAAGCCTAGTGTTCTAATGCTGTTCTACTTGTTAT